GAAAGTTTCTGCCTCAAATGTAATTACAAAGAGGCCATGCCCACTGGGGAACACGCCCCGTCTTTGTAAATACGGCAGTTTACGTACTTAATTTTGCACCTTGTGTTCAATTTAAACAATATGCATTTTCAGAATCAACTCAAAGTGCATAGTTATAAAAAATACAGTCACTGGACATTTTGCCTTTAGAAAAAAACCACCATAGACAATACAGTCTGTAACCTGAGACTCTCACATGATCCGTGAGGCCAATTTTATATCCTAGACTTCAATACAAAAGGCACGGGTTGCACTCTGGAAAACAGTATGGAGGTTCCTCAAAAAGTTGAAAATAGAGCTACCCTACAATCCAGCAATTGCAGTACTGGGTATTTACCCCAAAGATACAAATGTAGGGATCCGAAGGGGTACGTGCACCCCCATGTTTATAGCAGCAATGTCCACAATAGCCAAACTGTGGAAAGAGCCAAGATGTCCATCGACAGGTGAATGGATAAAGAAGATGTGGTATATATATACAATGGAATATTATGCAGCCATCAAAAGGAATGAGATCTTGCTATTTGCAACGACATGGTTGGAACTGGAGGGTGTTATGCTGAGTGAAATAAGCCAATCAGAGAAAGACATGTATCATATGACCTCACTGATATGAGGAATTCTTCATCTCAGGAAACACACTGAGGGTTGCTGGAGTGGTGGGGGGTGGGAGGGATGGGGTGGCTGGGTGATGGACATTGGGGAGGGTATGTGCTATGGTGAGCGCTGTGAATTGTACAAGACTGATGAATCACAGATCTGTACTTCTGAAACAAATAATGCAATATACGTTAAGAAAAAAAAAGAAGAAGAATAAGATAGCAGGAGGGGAAGAATGAAGGGGAGTAAGTCGGAGGGGGAGACGAACCATGAGAGACGATGGACTCTGAGAAACAAACTGAGGGTTCTAGAGGGGAGGGGCTGGGGGGATGGGTTAGCCTGGTGATGGGCATTAAGGAGGGCACGTTCTGCGTGGAGCACTGGGTGTTATGCACAAACAATGAATCATGGAACACTACATCCAAAACTAATGATGTAATGTATGGTGATTAACATAACAATAAAAAAGTGACGGGTTGCATACTGGGTAAAGCAAACCTAGGCATTGTGCAATCCGCCTCTAAGAAGATGTGATTATGTGCCCTGTAAGCTAAACAGCGCTATCTTGCAAACTCATTTAGAGCATTTGAACCTCATTACTAGAACCCCAAGGATGACCAGGGCGCTAGAGTCCCCCACTTGGACCCACTGGAGGTGTCCTGGAGGGAGCCTGGATTTAACGGGGGCACTGACATCACACACACGTTCTTTGAGGGCTAACGAGCGTGTAATGAGGCTTGAAGCCAGCTCGGAGCGTCTACAAGTCACCACGCGTCGTCCACACAGACCTCTCCCTAAGGACCCGTGTTAGCGTTTGTGCAGAAGTGCTGGGTCAAATGGGAACCCACGTGGGGCCCCCTGTGCCCCCACTGTCTTCCTCGTCCTTCTTACTGCTGCCATGCTTGATTCTGACTCGGCTTCGGTCTTCCAAAGGAATCCTGTCTCAAGACCGGACGAGAGATCAATGTTTTCTGTTTCTCAATTTCGACCCTGCAGACTTCTCTGCTGCAAATATCTCATGAGCACAAGAGGTGTTTCCCCCACGTACAGGCCCACTCGAGACTTTGACGTGCACGCGAAGGGAAAACATAGTAAATAGCTTTTAAGATAATGAGGTGTTGCGTGCGAACCTAAAACACGTGAAGACACATTAAGATCCTATTTTACGACTGTATGGGTACACAAGTGTATATGATCTTCAACCTTCAATGTTCCTCTTGTTCCTTCTGATTTTAAAAGGAATTAAGGGGGCGCCTGGGTGGCTCAGATGGTTAAGCGTCTGCCTTTGGCTCAGGTCATGATCCCAGGGTCCTGGGATCGAGTCCCGCATCGGGCTCCTTGCTCAGCAGGGAGTCTGCTTCTCCCTCTGCCTCTCCCCCTGCTTGTTCTCTGTCTCTCCCGCAAATGAAATAAAATCTTTTAAAAAATAAATAAATAAAATAAAATAAAAGGAATTAAGGCATTTTTCACACGCCCCCAAAAAGACCTGAGGCAGTGTGCATGCCTGGTCAGATGGGAGGGGCTGTTTTATTTCCTGTCCGTCTCTACACTTCCGACCGCTCCCTGCGGCTTAGGGATGCAATCAGTGTTTGTCCCATTGAAACCTGCAGCCCCCATCGCTTCACACAGTCAGCCCTCCACACACTTGCTGCATCGAGTCACGCGAGAAGGCAAAGCACTACAACACGTTTCGTCACCAAGGAAAATTTTATTTTACCTTTGCATGGACATCAGAACGATGTTTTGAGAAACCTTAAGCAGGTGGGTCACTTTAGAGACGGCGTCTTTCAGACGTGGACCAAGTCCTTTCCCTGCATCTTTTCTCCCCTCTCCCCTGGACGTCCTCCAGGGCAACCCAATGTCTGTTTCTTTTCTTGAATCCTTCACGATGCGGGCTGCGATTCTGCTTTTCACGCAGGGTTACTGACCTTGGGAAATGAGGTCTGTCCACAGTTCCTGTTTGCTTAGCGTGGCCAGACCTAGGACATGCTACGAATAGAAAGCCTTCTTTCTTTTAAAAGAATCTGTTTAAAGCTCCAAAGCCCAGTAAAGGTTTGGACGTAAAACTCAAGAGGTAATACCAGTGAGATGCTTTGAAAACAAGTAGCCTGGTAGGGCCTTGTAAAAACAAAACAAACTAGGTCATAAAAAAGGCTTGCTAGGTGTCTGCTGAAAAAAGAATTCAAATTTCCTGCTGTGGATCCCAAGCAAAACTTTCAGATGGCAAGTGGGTTGAAACCTAAGAATTAAGCTTATCATGAATAAACCTGATTTTCCAATACCCTGGTTCATAACAGTCGTAAGTTATTTTGAGGCAAATAGTTTTTTTTTTTTTTAAGATTTTATTTGCTTATTTGAGAAAAAGAACACAGAAGCAGGGGTAGCGGGAGAGGGAGAAGCAGGCTCTCCGTTGAGCAGGGGGCCCGATACGGGACTCGATCCCAGGACCCTGAGATCATGACCTGAGCCGAAGGCAGACACTTAACCATCTGAGCCACCCAGGCGCCCCTTGAGGCAAATATTTTAAAGCTGATTTTATTTCTAGAGGTATATGTCCTTCATTGGCTGCTAACATTCAGTACCGACTGAACAACTCTATACATACATACGTATTCACATATTGTATAAAAGTGCTTCCTTTCACTTAATCCTCCAACACACATCCCCACCCCCTGAAGTGTTGTCTAGAAGAGTCCACTTGCATTGAGTGTGTTAAACTTTGAGTAAACACCATCAGTGTAATACCTAAGTTTGTAACAGTGGTTTTAAAGTTTCTGCATAGTAATACCAGCAATAACCCTACCCCGTTATTAACAAGTTAGTACAGTTAGCGGTTCCTAAAGCAACAGGACAGATTCTCAGCCATTTGTGGAGTTAGAAATCCACACGAAAAATAAGAGACCCGTTTGCTCGCCAACTTTCAACCTTTCCCGGGGAGGGGAGGAAAAAAACATCACTTGTAGGTTGTAAGAAAAGAAAGATGTAAAATGTGAAATCACAGATCTCAAGAGGAAATGCAGTACTACTACTGGATCTTGGAAGTTCTTCCCGGGGTGGGGGACACGTGGAGAGACGTGTGGCCCGTGGTCAGGGCACCTGAGAGCACACATTCTCTCCGCAGGGCCACACGGGGCCCAGGCTTTGCACTGATCTGCAGTCTCCTGGAACAGAGCAGATACCGGGCCAAGAGGGAATGCTCGGACACGTGCACTAAAGAGACAAATGGATAGGCACGGGAATGGCAGCTCCTCTCCACTGACCCGAAAACGAATCCACATGATCCTGTTGGCAGATGTCTAGAGTCTGATCGAGTGACATGAGCATCCTCTACTCAGGTGCATATAAGTACAAAGGTACTTATATGAGCTACTGTGGTCTCATCAGTAAATTCTGCAGGAACGAAAGGTATCATGATATTGTGCATGGGTCATGGATTGCTTACGAGTTCTCCCTGCCAAGTAATACACTTTCCAGGCCAATAATTCTGCACTGCATCGGGAGGGATTCCTTGTGCTACAGTATCCCCGAGGTAGCCTTTATCTGGGAACTTCCATTCACCAAAGAAACAGTAAAGCCCAAATATAACACTATAAATTATGCGACGGGAATCCATTCAGGACAGACTGTCTTGGGATTATGGTTCCCGAAGGATTTCACAAAAAAGTCTGCTGCACGAGAAAAGTCTAATCTGTGAACCTCTCCTGCTTTTACCTAAATAGTGTGAAGCTTCTAGTTTTACAGTTTAATCATCCCTGATTTCCTGAGGAAAGAAATAAACTGTGTATCTGTAAATATACCTATCATGCATAGTTTTTAATATGTGCTCTAAATAACACTGATAATAATTGCCTTCCAAATCAAATTGCAATTGAGCATCACCTATTATTGGTGAAGAAGATGGTCCTTTAACTCATTCTGAGTTGCATGTATTAAGATTTAGTAAGTGCTGTTTAAATGCTATTCCGTTCTTTATTGGTGTGCCAGGGAAATCATGGCAGCCAATAACACCACAAGGCATCGTGGAATAAAGGCCCCTTATGCCATGGGTCCACTCATTTGCAGAGGTGTCAGCATGATCTGCTCCTTCCTACCCACCTGAACCCCCACACTTACAGGACTCTAAGAATTTTGGCCATGGAACCCCAAGTCTGGCATTTATCCCTGTGTATACCGTAGACTTTGCTTTTCCCCTGGGGTAATCGGAGGGCTCTTGATGGAGGCTTTGGGCTCCATCCAGTAAGATGGAGAGAGGCTCCCAGTCCGAGGTGCCGACAGGGCTGGCTTTCCGCAGGGCCTCCCCCCTGTGTGTGCACAAGGCAGGAGGCGGAGTGGGCGCCGGGCCTCTGTCCCCAGACGTGCACCTAGCGGCTCTCCCTCCTGGCCTGTTCCTCCCGGTCACACTGGCAGGACAGCCCGGAAGATGAGCAGCACATCTGAAGCCACGGCTTCCAGAGAATGTTGCCCAGTGACAGCTGATTGGGGACCTCCTGCAGGGTCTCGGCATGGCGGTCTGCAGCCTGCTGCATGACGTCGATGATCTCCTGGAAGCGAGGCTCGGTCATCGGCGATATTGGGTTTCTCTCCCTGGGGTCTCTGGAAATATCGAAGAGCAGCGGCGGGTGATGCTGGTTCACAAACTGCCCGTGGCATAAACACACGTGTGTGGAAAAGCACCCGTTGGCACCCTCGGGGTTGAACTTGGGCGTGAAGAAGAAGGCCTTCCAGACGGACGTGCCTGTGGTTTACAAGGACACAGATTGGCATGGGGTGGGAAGCGCCCTGAGCCTCACCGCAGAGGGGAGCATGCACAGACACTACGCGGCCCTGTGCTTCCGGAATGCGGGGCACCGGACGTACGTCTCGTCCTTACCGCTCCAAAGAAGAACACCATAGCTCAAAAAAACAAAAAACAAAAAACAAAAAACAAAAAACAAAGCAAGAGCATGCATTAAGCTGTAACGGCCAAAGAAGAAATGGTAAAACGGACAGAACGACAGCTTCTGTGAGGCAAATTTACACAAGGTCACCATGGTGTTTTCTTCTTATGCACAAAAATCTCCCTATTTCCTCCCATCTCCTTCCTCCTCTTCCCCAACCCCCAATGTCCGAGGCGATGCTGTGCAGGCAAGAGAAGAGAAAGCCTATGAACAGTCTGCACAGAGAACTTAGCCAGGATGGTCGTTTGGGTCTCATGGACTTTATAGCTTGGAACACTGCAGAGCAGACATTCGATAAACACACACACACACGGACAAACAGATTATTTTTGTTTGTCTCTCTACCACCCAGCTCTACCATTTCCTGCTCTCCAACCTTTTCAACCTGCGGCCTCTGTTTCCGTTTAAAAGAGAACCTTCCAGAAGAGGGAGGAGGCTCCCTGCTGACATGTGCAGGAGAGACGCTAAAAGCACACGCACACACAGACATCACACGCAATCTTAAACATGCGAAGGCCTCGGTGAACATTTTATTTTCTCTGCTCTGAGAAAGCCTGAAAGTAGCAAATCAAGAATTAAATGAGCCTGTTAGCGAGGATGGGGAGGGACCGCAAATGGGCAGCAGAAGGGAATGTTCTCAGATTAGATTGGGACTGGGTGTGCACAGCTCCACACATTTGCTAAAAATTGTGGAATTGGAATTTTAGGGTGTGTAAGTTATTTCTTAGTAAAGCTGTTAAAAATGCCAAATTAGGAGAATTCACTGACCCCAAAATAGGATGGTTACATCATTTAAAAATTAAGGTTGTTTTTGTTTTTGTTTTAACGCCTGTGCGGGGCTTGAACACATGAACCTGAGTTCAAGAGTGAGCGGAAGTCAAGAGTCAGATGCTTAGCCAACAGAGGCACCCAGGCGCCCCTAAGAATTAAGTTCTTTGAACATCAAGTCTGTGTTCCGTTATACCCCCCAAATATTAAAATTTTCAGGAAAAACCTGCTTTACAAAAAATTGTTACCAAAGAACGGATTCCCTGTTTATTCCAGAATGTTCTGAGTCTGTGAGGAGCTGCGTGCTCATCAAAGAGCCTCCCCTGAGAGAGCTCAGCAAACGGCTTCCTGCGTGGAAAAACATGGCAGACACGGAAAGAATTAGCAGCTACTCACCCACTGCAATCAGGTGCAGAACGAGAATGTTCTCCTTTGCATTTTCCTTACAGTGCTTTTAATGCAAAGTCCTAAAGACCTTCCCACTGTGTGGCATCCCATATGCGTTTATTAATCCACTTCCACAATCTGCATATATTCTAGTGCATCTTTAGTGACCAACCAAGGCCAATACAAAATAAAGCAATGGAAGCAACTTAACACAATTGTCGCGGGTGTCCGCGTTGTGTCTGAGCAACCCCTGACCTCAGATGAGCGTATGCAAGGGAACGTGAGCCTCTCTGTGGTTTTGGGGGGCAGGTGGGAGATGCAGGAACCACAGGGCAAGCCCTGTGCATGTGCCAGACATGAATACGTTACGGGGCATCCATATCAGGACGCCTCCCGTCTTAGCCTCCCTGATATGCCGGGAGAGACTCCACCCCACACCTGGGTCAGCTCCCAGGTGCTCAGCACACCTGCCTTTTAAAGATGAAGTCAGGCAGACACGCCAGGCTGCGGACACCGTTCCCTGAGCACCCTCTCCAGCAGAGTTTTTCAAAAGCACATGGCTTTCCTGAACATTCTCTCCATCCACTCCTCTTTTCCCTGTGTGTCTTCCCAAGTGTGACCTATTTCCTTTAGGACTCTTTCCAGCAACCCAGGCTACAGCCACTTGAGAACCCATCGCCAGTCAGGGTCGTGAGGGCCAAGGCTGTTACAGACACAGATGTGTGTGGGAAGCCCCTTGGGCTGCTGCCGATCCAGAGGGCATTTCCAACCTGACATTCGAGTCAAGTCTCGGTGTGTTTAAAACCCCCAGAGAATGCAGGCTCCGGAACAAATTCATTTTAAGGGCCCGTGCTCCCCACTCGCTTTTGAAAGCCATGCACACAGGGTCCCACGATTACCGCCTTCGCTCAGGCCCGCCCGGATGTGAACTGCAGAGCTGACTTAAAGGCTGGGCAGGAAATCTCCAGCATCCTCACCCGAGAGCAGCAGGGGATCGCTACGCAGCCTGGACACGTGTACAATGAAGAATTCATTTTTCTGATGCTTTCTTTGTTCGGTATGCTCTATGCGCTATGTGCCTTTTTATTTTCTAATCTGAAATTTCAACATTTTTGCAAAAAGATTGCTTATTCTCAGTGCTATTTCTTTGGACCATTTTGGATTTGCTCCACTTAGAGCAACGGGAATGCATTTTATTGCACGTAGGCTCACAAGACATGGACCCCGTTCCATTCATTATTCACCAGGAACCCAGGAATCCACATCTTCAGAGCTGCCATTTCAAAGGAGAACACTACATCCCAGGTGTGTGATAAAATAGGAACGATCTGGTCACCTTAAAATGCTAATAGCTATATTCTGTGCTATCTCCCAAAATTATTTTGATAACATATTTCATCCTACATTTCTCCATATACTAGAAAAAGTTTTTTTTTTTTAAATATTTTTTCTCTTGTTAAAATTCCACTGTACTCTAAAGAAAGACTGTTCTTCTCACCTCTGCAGAGCCTACCTGAAAACAGAACGTGTTTCCTGTTTCTGTGGCTTGTGTTGTATGATCAGCTTGAACCCCGGCTGTGACGGACGGCATGGGTTCTACGTTCAGCTCCGCTGTGTCCCAGCTGTATGATGCTGGGCACGGCTGTGACCCTCTCTGTGACCCACTCTCCCCTTCCATAAAGTCAGGATAATCACAGTCCCTGCCTCGTGACATTGCTTTGAGGGCCCTCAAAACCCTGTTGCTACACCGAGCCGAGTGCAGAGTGAAGACCACGTACGAGTGAGCTGTGAACATAAAGCATCCATCTAAGCAAGACACGCAGTGGATTCCCTCTACTCTTAAATCCCTTTACTGTCATACACGTCTTAAGACTCTCCCCACCCCCCGAAGGATTCCTAAAGAGCATGGACAATTAAATGTAAATGGCTTCAGCGCACCGGCTCTTAATTCATCACTCGGACCCAGACTTCCCGTGATGAATGCCGTCGGACTGCTAGTCCTGGCAAGATGTACTTGGGACGCTTGGAGGACTCCGTGTATATATCATGTAAGGCACACACAGACACTGTGGGTTTTCCATCTGACAGGGTTTCCTGCTACACCGCCATCTTGAAGTTCTTCAAGAACCGTTTCGGTTAACGCTCTGTTTTTGAACCGTGGGGGACCCACACTCAAGTGACCCCAGGAATGCCCCCTCAGGAATGCGGACACCATCTACTGATGTCTGCAAATCCGTCCCACGACCCCGAAGCCCACGGTGACCTCCCTGCTTCCAAGACACACGTCAGACAGCACACCGTCTGCTCCCCTCTCCTCCGCCAGCCACCCTACACCAACGCCCCGTTCCCTTCTTAGACCCAGAAATGTTACAGCGGGGGTCCCACCTGGAGCCGCCCGGGGGCACCAGCGTCTTCTAACTCAGTCCGCACTCACTGTAGACCCACACCTCGTTCATCTTGACCCCCCCAGGCTCAAACCCACCCGTTCACCTTAGCCCAGACCCTGAACGGTCCAGCACTGAGCCAACGGATTACAGGTCCGACTGCTTCCTGGCTGGGACCCCCTATGAGAACAGTAGCACAAATGAGGAGGCAGCTACGGGCTCCCGCTAAGAGCATCTGCCTCACATCCAGGCAGGATTTCCAGCAATGCTAGCTCCCCCAACTGGTGGCTGATTCAGTCAGAACAAAAAACGCTCCCTTTGACTAACCCTCCGCTGTAGAAACAAACAAATCACTGGGGAATAGAAATATGAACCGCAGTACAAAATGGGTACACGATGCATGCTAAGCGCCCTGCCTCTTGCTCTCTGCCCCTGTATGTTGAAACCCCCCCATCGTTCGAGGCTCTCCAACAATGCCATCGCCGTGGGCCTGTCCCAGTCCCAGCGGGACTTTATCAGGGCCTCTGTCCTGCTCACCCGTTCTCACTACACATTTGCTGTCTGTGGACTCACTCCATGTCCTTAGCTCTCTGAAAATGAAGAAGAAGGAGGAGGAGAAAAGAGGAGGAGGGAAGAAGAAGATGATGGAGGAGAAGAAGGAGAAGTAGTTCCCATTCATGGAGGGGCAGACTCTGAAAGCACACGGCGTGGCCACAGATCCAACTTTGCCACCGACTCTGTGACGGTATGCCAATCACGCGGCTTCCTACACCTGTGTCTCCCCATCTATAAATGAGAGAAATACCTATTACCTGTCCTCTGAGCCTTCCGCACTCAGCAGGTGTTACCTGGACACACACCCATAATGAAGACACCACTTCCCGGCCTCCTTTGAAGCTAGGTGTGGACAGGTGAGCACCTTCTGGCCTGCAGGATTTACTTGGGAGGGTCTGCATATCTTCCTCGGGAGAAAACTGACTTGCACTCTTTTACTCTTATCATTCCCACTCATTCCTCATCCCGCTGCCCCTCGGTGGACCCCACCATCATTCATTCACCACACTCAGGAAGCTGCTGCACCCTCCAGGTGGTGGAGGGGAGCCTGGAGTCTGCAACTCGAGACCGCGTAGACCATCCACCTCTACGTGTCACTCATGAGATGGACAAGGGAACCCCCTTGTCCCCCGATGTACATCACTGTTCCTTCGTGTTTTCCTGTTACAGGCGAACCTGACACTAATGTAATCAAAAGCCCTTTA